ACAAGCCCCCCTCACAGCCTTCTCTTCTTCAGGCTGAACAAGCCCAGCTCCCTCAACCTCTCCTCATAGGGGAGATGCACCAGTCCCCTCACCATCCTTGTAGCCCTCCGCTGGACTCTCTCCAGTAGCTCTTCATCCTTCTTGAACTGGGGAGCCCAGAACTGGACACAGTACTCCAAGGGCAGCTGCATCAGCCCCTGCACAGGGGCTCAACCCAAAGCGGGAGGTGTTCCGTTAGCGTGGGAAGCGGGAGGGCTCTCACCAGCACGGCAAGGAACCCCAGTGCTTCCCAGTACAGCAAGGAACCCCAGTGCTTCCCCAGTCTGCTGCGAGCCGAGCTGCACGGCGTGCTGGCCCAAGGGATCTCCTGCAGCTGCTTTTGAAGCGGTTCCATTTTTCAGCTAGTGCCGCTAGAGAAATGATGCTCTAACTACAGAGAATAACATCACAGTTATGTATTTATTTGGAAGGACAAGCTCGCAGTCTAAATAAACCCTCATCGCTAAGATGACTTTTATTAATGAGTTCAATAGAAACCTTCCTTTTTTGGCTATTTTTTTTAGCTTAAAATTCTTTGTCCAGTTCAGTATTTTGTTGCAATAGTGAAAAACTTTTACCATATCACTGGACTCTGAAAGTCAGATGCACGTTAACAGAAAAGGCCACAGCAGAGGGGAGACATTACCCAATATGGAACGAAAATGAAAACTGCTCTTCACATGTTACAATCTCAGTGCAGTAATGGCTAGAAAAATCTTGCTTTCAAAACACTCAGACACCATTTTTTCCCCCAGCTTTAAATCCTCTGCTACAAGTCATCTTCTCAAGGGCCAGTACGAAACATTTTCACTCACCGTAGTTTATGATCAGCATTTGTTCAGCAGCCACAACGGCCACTCCAGATGGCACTGGGAGAATATAAATCTAACAGGGTGTTGCGGAATCTCAACCATTTCCCTGTGGAACTGCGTTTTTCTGCCCAGAGACATGCGTGGTCTGTGCAAAGCTCCCCAGAGCGACTGCAGCCCTGGGAGCGCTACCTCCACGTTCACAGCTTCACGTTCACCAGGCTGAGCCACCACCTCCTCTCGCCCGCGGTCTGTCCCCTCGCACTGGCCTGGAAGCCTAGCTGGAAACATGGGCTCGCAGGAAAAGACTTCCTGATCTCCAGCACCTGAGATCTCCATCCAGGGAGATGCCGTGCCCACACTTTCAGAGCTGCCAAGAATCCCAAGCTGAAATCGCTGGCTCCTACAGCTAACGGAAAGTTTACTGACCTCGGTGGTTCAGCCCAGCTTTCGCTGTGGAGGGAGGGAGATGGTGAAGAGGAGACAACCCCCCCACCCCGGGCAGACGGACACCTCTGCTCAGCAGGGCTGGAGGAGCACGCGAGGGGTCCTGCTGGGCTCTGTCACAGCGCTCGCTCTACCAGAGCAACCCAACGTCGCAGCACTGCGCCGGCAGTTTGACTGCGGCAGACTCAGCGAAGCCCACAGGAGCACCATGGTGAATGAGGAACAGACAGCCCTGGCTGGTGCAACCCCTGTCCCCCCTCTCGTTGAGACTGACCCCATCCCCCTGAAAGCTGCCCAAGCTGGGAGTGGAGCCGGGCTGGCCCCGTCAGCCCGTCCCACCATGGCAAAGCCCACAGCACTTACATAGTGCCCTGCCGCAGGGCTGCGCTCCGGGGCCCCGTTGGTGGACTCGGTGGTGGACTCGGTGGCTTTGCCGGCAGCGATGTCCTTGTCCTGTGGCTTGCCCTCCTCCTTCCCAGTGCCGCCCTGGCCCGGCAGTGCCACCTCCCCAACGCCCAGCGCCTCAGCCTTGTACTTCTTCACGAAGTCTTCCATCAGCTTCAGCTCGCCCTCGGCGAGGCCGCGGCACTGGGACGGGTCCTGGTCGTACCTTTGCTCCGCGAGCCGACGCTCTGCTCGTAGGATGGAGCCGTGGCAGGACGCGTGTCCCTTCTCCCGAGCTGTCTGACACACCCTTCCGAAACAGAAAGCTGAACGTGCCCAGGCGCCAGCAGCAGCCAGGCCACTGCGCATCACTTCACCCTCAGAAAACAGGTGCGGTGGTTTTGATTTTGTTTCTTAAAAAAACACAGACTCCCCAGGAAAGCAAAGCAAAAAGACTTGCTCTGCCAGTCTGCGCCCTGATCCCAACACACCCTCCCTTGCCAGCGCAAGCAGTTCCAGGCAGCTGGACAGCAAGGCTGCTGAAAAGACCCGAAACCAGGCACGTGCAGTCCCCAGACCAGCCGGGTTCCCGCTGCCCCGTGCCAGGCGCGGGAGCGCGCCGGGGAGCGGGTCGGGGTCTGCACCAAGAGCACCCCACAGCCCTCATGCGCTGCACGCAGCATCTTCTACAGTAAAAGATCCCCTTTTACCAATTAACAAACCCATTTTAATACAGGAAAACGCAGTCAGATAGCAGTTGAGTCTGTGTGCAACACTGACAGCCACCAACTCGCTGGAGAGAGTCCAGCAGTGGGCTACGAGGATGAGGAGGGGACTGGAGCATCTCTCCTACAAGGAGAGGCTGAGGGAGCTGGGCTTGTTCAGCCTGGAGAAGAGCAGGCTGAGGGGGGACCTTAGAAATGCCTCGAAATATCTGCAGGGTGGGTGTCAGGAGGA